TTTTTTTTTTTTTTTTTTTTTTTTTTTTTTGATTTTTAAAGGGTTTATTACTCATTGGTTTTATGCTTAAAGCAGAGTATTTGTAGGTTGAACGAGTGGTTCTGACTCCTACTACGTCATCACAACTGTTTGAAGCACCTGCGTCTGGTTCAGCGGAGCCGCTGAGTGACATTAAGAAATCTGACGCTGATAAGATGAGCAAAATTGATTTGACTTCTGAAGCGAAACAACTGCTCACTCAGACAAATGTAGAAGTTAATGGCGTTTCTGGTATTAGTGCTCAAAGTGCTAGTGTATCAAATAGTACGGCCGTACAGTCTAATGTGGATATTTCGTCTGCGGAGAGGAAAGGAAGTGGAGTTACTGGGATCTGTACAGTTTTGGAAAGTCGTAAAATTAGTTCATTGGAAAGTACTTCTAAGAGGGAAGATACTGGTTTTGCCAATACAGAGGTTATTAAAGAAAAGGAAGAAGAAGCAGTAGTTTCTATGAGTGACTGCGCGGAAAATAACGAAGGCAGTTCCGGTAATACAGTCATTGGTTTTATCTCTCTTTTAAGTCAGAAAATCGTGTCTGATGGTTTGCTTTTGGAATTAGAAAGTGGAGTAACGCAAGATTGTGCAACAGCTGGTAAGGAGTCGTCTGTATGCATGGATTATCCTTCAACTTCGTCTCTGGGATTGAAAACCACTCCTGAAGTAAGTGGTGACATCGACGGTAGGACTATTAAAATTCGTGGGGATGGAAGTGCTCAAGGTGCATCTGTTTTATGTGGTTCACTGTACAACAAAAGAAGACGGTTTGATGCTTTGAACGAACCTTCCACTGTCTTTAAAGGCATGGAAGTCTTAGGCACGGAAAGTGGAACTACTGGTGTGAACTTTTTTGATCAGTCTTTGAAAACGAGTGTTGGATCTGTGCTTTCTCGTACAGATAATGAAGTTTTTTTCAAAGAAAAAGTTAGTGTGAGCTGTAGAGCATCGACATCAAAAACTAGCGAAACGGATGACGAAGTAATACAGCGAATTGTTAAAGACCTCGTCAACTACACTGTGTACGAGGTTGGTTTTTTCTCCTTTTATTTCGAAAGGTTTATTAGCGTTTCTTGAATTTTGTGCGAAGTCGTTTTTATGCTGCGGATTTGGGTTCTTTTGTGCTGAAAAATAAACAGCTTCTTTGTTGCTTTTAGTTTTTTACGTAGTGGTATAGTAGCGGTTCTTGTTTATTGAACTGATCAGCGTATTTAAGTTGATAAGTGCCTTTCACAGCGTTCCTCACTTTCCAGGCAGAGAAAGACGAGTTTGTGAAGGATTTGTCAAAGCTTCCTCTTAAGACTACTCAAACTTTTGCTAATGGAAGTGGTAGCGCGGTTTCGCCAAGGTAATTGTTTGTTTCATCTTTTAGACTTTATATATCTCTTCTTTGACGGTTTCCGCTAGTGATTCTTAGATTAGTCTGTTGTAGTACGAGACATTCTCTAAAATTTTCTAATGATGCGCTCCAAGATGAGGACGAAAAGGAGGCCATAAGGAGCGTTGTACGAGGCCTTGTGCGCGAAGTTCTTTCCAGGGAAAAAGGAATAGTTCAAGATAACCTTAGAAGGAAACGAGAGCGGATTCAAATGGCTATTCACCGTGAGCTTACTTGAGCTTATAGTTTTGTCCTTTTGGTATTTATTTGTTTACTTACACCTAATTGATTAATGCAAAGTGTGATGTTTTATTGAACTTTATAATGTTAGTTTTGTGCTCTTTCATGTCTGAATGTCAACGTTTAAACTGGTTTATTTCACGTTGATTCAAATTTATACCCTTTGTCTTTGTCGGTGAGAGAAATCTTTTGCTTTTCTGTCTGTACTTTTTTATTTCGTGTTCCAAATGTGCCTCAAATTCTATTTAATATAGCAATAATCATTTACATACCTCAAATCTCCAGCCTCTCAAGTGTTTCACTTCATTTGGCATAGGATAGGTAGTTTTAAGTTATAAACCGCGGAGATTTTTGTGCTTTGGATTTTGGTTATCTCGTTGTTACTTCGATTCTTTGTCGGTTTATTACTTTATTAAATTGAGAAAGGTATTACTGTATTAAGTTTGCAGTGTTGAGAGGCAGAGATTGTGACCGGATTTAGTCTGAAATTTGAAGCTTCGGCAAAGTACTGTTTTTTTACTTTTTCTTCACATAATGCATTAATGGTGATATTGTATGAGCTTTTCGTCTGGTGTTTGGGAGGTCAACGGTGAACTTCTTCACTTATAGTCCTTTTTGTTTTTAGATGAATTTATCCTGTCTAAGCTGTGAGTTTTGTTAGTGATGGGATCTATCCTCTTTTACTGAACTTTACACTCCCCTACTTGTTTTATTTAATTGGGTGTTTATTCATCACTCAAAATGGAGTCGCACTATTGTGTTACAAATTTCTATATGTAAAAATTTTTTGCTTTGCTAAATTTTTAGAATTTTTTAGGTAGTTTTGCGGCGTTTGGTAAGTTGTGTAATTGAAAATGCTATACATAGTGCGCTAGATGAAAGCAGATATTTTTTAATCTTTATTTTGTGTAATCAAAGCTGTAAAATGTTACCAA